GCGGTCGACCCGAGTATACGGTGAGACCGCCTTTCGCTAAGATATACAACATATCGTATAACATAATTATCTCGAGGTTTGGCTGATGTATGGATGTTATGATTGACAGGTTATGTCTTTGAGACAACCGTTTAAAGCATTGTATCATCTGTTCATAGATTACATAATTATTAAGCAATTAATAAATTAATAAAATATTAATAAATACCAAAAGCGCTGAATAGCTGTCGACACCAGAAGTCGGTTCGTCAACACATATGAGATTTGGTTTGATTTTAGCCGTCATTTCCATTGCCATTACTATCCGTTTTTGTTGACCAAAACTGCATTTTTGGACATCAGATAACTCTATGTCTTTGATGTCCAACTCATCCATAAGTTTCAAAACATTTATCTCGTGATCGAAACCACTATTGGATCCATTCTTCAGTTTAGACGCATAAATCAGTGTTTGTTTTACAGTTAAACCATTCATAATGTGTTCCCTTTGGTCCTGAGCTATAAAACAAGTCCTAATCCTTCGCTCTCTCGATAAATATATCTTCGAGTCATTGGTCATTAGATCCCTATTCATGCCATTCAATGACCGCAAAAGCGATGTCTTTCCCGCACCCGACGGACCCATTAGTGCACACATAGACCCGAACTCAACGAATCCATTAATTCCTCTCAATATTAACTTTTCGGACGAAAACAAAGTTTCATTGACTTTCAAAGTCATGTCAATCCACGCAATACTCAGTCGCTGCTGTTTTGCACCCAAATTGACATCAAATAAATCCTGTCTCTCGTATTCAATGTATGGTTTGTCGTAATTAACAATTTGTTTGCGAAAATCCAATTCATTTTCAGCGCATTCATAGTATACGGAATCGGTTTCACCGGTAAATGACTTGCGTTTGCAAACATTAGTTACATTTGTTTCGTTTGTCACAAACTTAGGCCACAATTGATTTCTCAAATGCCACATCATATTAGGATTGTTGGCGTAAATCAATAACAAAAACGTGATTAATTTAAAGAAAAATATTTGCAAAAACATATACAGCGTGTAATCAATTAGTATATTGTCGTCATCGATATCATTGTCAAACAGTACTCTCGATGTCATGTGTTTGGGACACCTGNTCGATATCATTGTCAAACAGTACTCTCGATGTCATGTGTTTGGGACACCTGTCCTGACCATAGATGGCCACATACTGGCCGTTCATAGCGAACCTCAATGTGGTTAATGGGGACAAAGCCCTGAACATAAGAGGGAGATCATTGATCCTGATAAATACATTGTTGAATAGTATAGACAATACAGCGTTGGCAATGCCGCACACATAACATAGATGTTTGCTGGACACCAGCGTCACAATCAACGCAATTGTGCTGTATATCAGATGCATTGCCAACACGTAAAACGAGACAAATGGCCAGAATCTCTTCGGTTCGTCCAATTGGTTGCTTAAATAAAACACGATTACACCGCTAAGTGCGCCAGAAACTGTGCATGGTACAAAGTCCATCACATTCTGGGTCAGTAAATATGTGCCACTGCTATACGATTCTGTTTAACAGTGGATTCAGTGGTCAATAACTTATATAATGAATATACAATAAATTGTACGGAATATTCTGTAAACAATGTTATACTCAACTATTTCTGTGTTCAGTATTGAAACGAGTGAATGTAATAATCAAACCATGGATGACGAGCACAGCCTGTATGGCCTGACACGTCCATAGGGTAAAGCCTAATAGCATAGTGTTTTGAAAGACCCGATTGTCGGCGTCCAAGCGGTCAATACACGTCTGGTTTGACTGTACGCTAAAGTCAATGCAATCGCTCTGTTGGCCGACGTCTGAGTCAAAACATATTGTCGTAAATATCGCTATCAATAACACAATGGTTTGGTTGAGCGCTAATATCCTCCACTGATAGGCAAACATTTCTGTTAACGATCTCATCGACAGAATCCACACGTCTTTAAGCAAAAACTTTTTGTTTTTATGTGCAATGAGTTTGACTTTTGTGTGCCTATCGATCGCGTCGACCGTTTCCCTGAACTCCTCGACGGTTTTGGCTTTCAATTGACGGACACTTTCATCGCCCATACCTTTGGATGCGATTGTGATGAGTGTCTCGATTGGCACCTGATTTTCATTGCATGTGATATTACAGGCGTTCAGATGTAAGACGAGTCGGTCGGGTGGACCCCAATAGACACAGTGACCCCCTTTTGCCAAAACATACAATTTGTCAAACATTGACAACACGTCTGAATTTGGCTGATGTATGGATGCGATGATCGCTATGCTGTGTCTTTGTGCCAAACTTTGCAGACATTGTGTTACCTGTGATCACATTTTATAACATATTTAAAGCATATTATAAAATATAGCAAAGTATGCAATGACTGACCGCTTCGGCGATATTACTGTCCAAACCAGTGGTCGGTTCGTCGCATAACAAGAGGTTTGGTTTGTGAAGTGCCGTCAACTCTAAGCCAATGGCCAGTCTCTTCTGTTCGCCTCCACTACACCTCTCGGTCTTCGTGTCCATAATGTCAGATATCATGAGATCAGACATAATGGTCGACACATTCATCTCGTGATCAATGGATGACTTGTGCGAAGAGTTCTTGAGTTTCGAGGCGTAAATCATGTTTTGCTTTGCAGTCAAACCCATAATAAGAAACTCCTTTTCGTTGTGTGCGATAAAAGTGGACCTAATTTTGTCCGTAAGACTCAACCGCATCTCCGACTCCGGACTTAAGCCCCAATTATTCAAACCATTGAAACACATCAACAGTGATGTGAGTCCCGCACCCGACGGACCCATAACTGCCGTCAATTGGCCCAACTCTGCCCTTCCGTTCACACCATTCAATACGATTGTCTCACGTCGTGTCACAGCATTGGATCTGATGCTAAACGTGAGGTTAATCCACGCGATGGCTGTCTTCGCACCGCTTTCAGACATTTCGCACATTTGATGGCATTTTGTTGCGAATTTACATTAATGTTATAACTTATAACACATCTCAACATATGTTTTATTCTGTTTCTAAATTTACACTTCTATTCAGATTTTGTACAGTATTTCAAGTCATTAAAATTAATTGAAAATTAATTAAATTTTTAATTATGTTTGAAATACATGAAAATACATAAACTCTCAAATAGAAAGTAACTTTTGTATTGAGTGATCGAGTATTTCATTTCATAAAATTTTGTTATTAAAAATTACTATTTTTATTATCATTTCATAATTATTATGATTTATTAACCTTTGATTACAATACAACTCGTAATTCCTTTGATGGGATAATCCAGTTATGGGTTCAAAACAAACAAAATTATAATAATTATCATTAATTATTCACATTTTAAAAATCTATTATTTTTCGTTTAAATGTCTAATAAATTGAAAACAAATACAATTATTAAAACTCTTAAATGACTGCTAAAAAACTAAATCATATATAATGTAGAGATTTATGACAATTTGCGTAAACTATTTGCACAAAAATAATAATAAACAAAAAACTAGTGAACAATAAATGCCAAAATACAGTGTAATTATAATTATAATGTCAATCAATCAAATCGTTTTCTTGTCTCTCAAATCCCAGTTTGCAGTCCAAGAATAGAGATCCACAAGAATTCAATCGACAAATAAAAATAGACATAAATTGTATTTTTTAAAAGATATTTAAAGATATATAATAATAATAATTAAACGATATATTTATATAACAATTAATTAATTATATGGTATCTAAACATAAGTCTATTGTATTCACGACTCCTTCTTATCGGCCGCTCTGTCCGCCTCTTCTGAGTCGGTGTCCAACGCATTGCGTATATTATTAATCAACTCTTCGTACTCGGAGTCGCCCTCAGCGGTCGGCCCATCGCTGGTCTCGATTATGCCATTAATAGTGCCCTTTATTTTAGTCGCCGATTCATCCAATTCGGCCAATACTAACGCCAATGCCTTTTGCTTTGACGACAATTTCCTGCGAATGACCACAAAATCAAAACATCAATTAAACATCGGATCAAATGAATGGCAAAGACATGTCTATGAATTGCAAAGATATCACACATACTGAGGAACTTTGATCTTAAGGTGAATATAATGGTCGCCGAAGCCGTAACTCTCCATCCGTCGGATACCCTTATTAGCCAATCGTATGCGACTGTGAGAACTGGTTCCCGACGGGAT